AAAAGATTTAATAGATGATTCATACTCTTAGGTAAAGTATATGTAACAAACAATTCATAATTAATTTTTAATGCTGTATATTTCTTCAACATTTATTTAATTAGTTGAAGAGATGTGTGTTAAATATCAAATAAGAAAATTTCAGGTAAAATAGTTAATTTTTCAGGACTAAATCTGTAAGTAACAATTCTGTTCTTGAAAGCACATGCAATTATATTTACATTACCAAACTCGGTTTGCAGTAAGCAGTTGGATTTGTGAATATAGGAGTTTTGGTGAGCGGAATAACGTTTAACATGCACGCCACAGGACCTGCAGAAAAACATTTTTTTTAATTATTATTGTTATGAATACAGATTGGTTTATTATAATAATATATAGTTTTTTGGTTGTTAGACTTTGAATTTTAGTTTCATAGCTTTATTTTGATTTTTTTGCCGTGTAGTGGCGGTTAGACGGAGCACCTTCATCAAAGCGACACGTGGAACGCCGAAAGTTCAGAGTGATTTCTTTTTTTTTTTTTCTAAGAAACATTGCCAGGTTATGGTTTAAAATAAAAGAGCATATCTTTGTCTTTGATACTATTATCTATTGCATGTTGTCTTTGGTTTTGTTTTAAAGGAAAAAATAGTTTTTTCATAAGGCAGTACTTCTGATCCGACCTGATCTAATTCGACCCGTACCAGAGCCGACGTAAGGTAGGTATTGTATGATCTAATTAGATCCGTAGCCGAGTGAAGTCAGTAGGCTTTTTACTAACCAGGATGCTATCTTTGCCAGGACATTTTCTGCCGATATTTTTACTTCAGACCAGGATTTGCCAGAGAACACGATAGCTGTTTCATCTGCGTAAGAAAATACAGTACCATTTGATAGTTTTAGAAAACAGAGATTATTTATATACACCAAGAAAAGCGTTGGTCCTAGCACACTCCCCTGTGGGACACCGAATGTTAAGGTGGCTTCCTGACTATTGTGATTGCCTATACGAACACGCTGCTTTCGGTTAGTAAGGTAATCTTTGAATAATTTGAGAGGAGTACCTCTCACCCCTACTTCCTCAAGTCTATTTAACAGGATGGGCACCGACACTGTGTCAAATGCCTTCTTAAGGTCGAGCAATACTCCCAGACATTTGTTTCCAGAATCCAATTCTTTTACTACTAGAGTTGTAAGAGACTGAATAGCATTTTCAGTCGATAAGCCTCGTTGAAAACCAAATTGATTTTTTGCTATGATGCTATATTTTGTCAAGAAATTGGTGAGTCTAATGTTAATTAATTTTTCTAGAAGCTTAGACACTGATGAGAGAACGGAGATCGGTCGGTAGTTACCGGGGTCACTTTTGCTGCCATCCTTATATATAGGTGTTATTAAGCCTGCTTGAGTACAGTTGGAATAACTCCCTGTTCGAAACACAAGTTGGCCATATGGGAAATAATTGGCGCAATTTCATTTAGAGCGAGCCTTAGAAAAGAGGTAGGGATATTATCCCATTCCGGTGAGCTACTTAATTTCATAGACTTAATAACTTTACATATTTCAGCACAATCAGTATCATATAAGACGAATGATGAAACCTGTTTTATGCTTGTGTGAGGATTCTCTGACGGTGAATTTGGAGTTATAATTTTTTCTGCTAGCTCTTTACCAATATTTGTGAAATAGGTGTTAGTGATATCTACCGATGCTTTTGGAGACGAAGCTGCATGCAGGAGTTCAAGGTTATGGGTTTTGGGGGACTTACGTTGGGTTATTCCGTTTATGGTATCCCATAACTTTTTAGGGTTTTTTTGAGCTTTGGTCAGCTGGTCTCGATTATAGTTCCTTTTCAATTTTTTTAAAATACAGCTGCAGTAGTTATATTATTTTTAAATATTATATAAAATATTTACTTTTATATATTATTTTTAAAGTTTCATTATATGGGTCAAGTTTTAGCCTTCTTTGCATATCATTTCTGCTTCTGATGCAGCGTAGCATACCTGGAGTAACCCAAGGTTTTAAAGTGCTTTTGTTCGCTGAGGTGAAAGTAATAGTCGCATTTATTTTAAGTACTGTTGAAGTTTTTTTTATTAAAAGTTCAGTTATAACATTAGGGTCACTGTATTCTAATAGATCAGGTAATTTAGTTGTTTTTAATAAGTCTAGGGCCTTGTCATAATTGATTTTAGTTATAGTTTTGTTATTTATTATTATTTTATCAGGGCAGGATATTTTTAGAAAGATCATACTGTGATCAGTGACAGTGGCATCGAGTTCAGCAATCGTGACATTTTATTCGTGATTGAGTTTTAGTATGAAATGATCGAGGCAATTAGGTCCTCTCGTTGGAATAGAGTGACCTGGAAGGAAGCCCTGTGAAGCTAACATATCCAGATAATTGTGTCGATTACTGCGTTCGTAGGGTTGTTCGTCATGTCTATAGATGAGATTTATATTTATGTCTCCGGTAATGATGACATTTTTAGTTCCTTTAATAAGTTCTAAGTGAGTAAGTACATAATGAGTCAATTAATTGCTCGGCTATATGGTTAGAGGGTGAGCGATAAATACCAAGAACCGTAAATTGAGGTAAAGATATCTGCAAGCAAGACGCATGTTTTAAATAGACCTCGGATACGTTAACTGTCAGAGTGGTTTTGACATAGGCGACTACTCCATCAGATTGATTTAGATGTGCAGATGTTTGAAAAGAATAATACCTTATTATCTGAGGGATGTGTTTATCAGGTTTCAATTTGCATTCACTAAGGGTGATAAGATCAGAGTTGAGGTCAAGGATGGATACGTTTGCTTGAAAGTCATCAAAATTGGCATATATACTTCTAATATTTTGGTTTATTATCGTAAAATCTGTATTTTTAACTGTGATGATATTCTTCAGATCCCCAATTTTGCATTCAAAGTTAAGAAACTTTCCAGAGTTATCTATTGCATTAATGTTATTGAGAACGTGATTCATGTTTTGTTTTAAAAACCCTTAGTTCGTTAGCAGAATGGGGTAAAATATAGAAATTAACAATATAATGTGGTACAGATTTCAGAATTGTGTATGGTCTGAGACATTGAGTGTAAATGCGTGTAGTAAGGTTTTTGACATTGTGTGTATTTTTTGGTTTATAAAAGTGTATGTTTGTGAATGTGTAATGGTTGAGATCTTTAAAGATACTGTGTAGGAAATATGTATAGTTATATAACGTGAATGGTATTTGTGTGCGAGCAGTTACTAAAATAAAATAACTTACATAGCATGAAAACGGTAATATGCAGATGATTTTTAACTCTTACAGTCATTTCAACTGTAATAAGTTCTGCACCTGTTGTTCACTTCTTACTAGGATTACTGGTGTGTTTTCACTCTTTCTGACATAGACTCGGCCATGAGCGGTCCAGCAGAATTTATAGTCACTTGATTTTACCAGATCTCGTGGGAGGAAGTGGAGTCGGGCGCCTTTGGCGGTCAACTGTTCGGAAATGTATATAGGTGTGTATTCGTTTTTGGTGTGTCCCAAGTGCTTGGCACAAAGTTTCTCTTTTTGCCTTATATTGAATGTCTTGGTGGATCTTAAGAGGTCTTTCTTTAAGATGGTGGATGATAATTCCACTACAATCGGGCTATTGTTTTCATTTTTCCATGTTTAACAGTTCGTTCTCACTTTCATTGGCAACTTTTGGAGCATTTTTAATTTGTATATTTGATTTTCTATTTTCTATCTGTAGGTCCTCAACTTTTTCTTCCAAAAACGTTATATATTCCCTATCTTTCTTGGCTAGAAGCTCGAATCCGTCTAATTTCTTTTTCATCATAAAAAACATAAATTTAGAGTTTACAATAAAAGAACACGTTATTTTGAATGCATTTTAGGCCAAATAACCACTCCAAATAAATATTCGGCAACTCTGTTAGTGATATACCGCCCACCTTCTTTTAGTAAACACTTGTTTATAAGTGAATTACACTGCACACTTAAAACTGTAAATAAGAATCACGACTTATTTCTATTAGGTGATGTAAACATAGATCTTAAGGTGAAACTAGTCGACATTATTTTCATAGAAATTTCGGAGGGGTTTTACTCCACTGTTTGACAGTGTACATCCAAAGTTAAACATGATATCGTTTTGTCTCATTATTAATTTTGTCTGTACCGAACATAGAAAATAAAAAGTCATTAAAAAGTTACGAGCTACCAAAGATTCGTTTTTATTGCCAATTTTAACATAACTTTGGGCGTAAGTTAGTAATAAAAGCAGTGTAAAATTTCCAAAACAAAGTCGGTACCGACACAGCTCAATTATCTAAGAATTCAATAAATTTTATTTGTAATTGATTTATGCAGTGGTTTTTTCATAAAACCCCTTCTTCCAAAGGCCTTTTCGTATTTTTTTACGCGCGCGTGTTTATATGAATTATCGTGCATCTCACTGAATAATGTTTCCCCCGGTGCGGTGCGGGAGGACGACACTTACACACACATGCATGCGCGGTGACGCGCGCTTATTCTAGTTTTATTCGACTCAGTCAGCTGCGACCTGTGACATTCGTATGACTATAGCTATACCTGCGCTCTAAATTACTACGCTACATTGACCCCTGCTTGAACTTTGGATTTCGATACTACTCTGTTTGACTTTGGACTAAAATTTGGAGTCCGTACATTTTTGTTGTAAATTAGAATTGTTGGCTTGAGTGAATTGTTTTGTGGAGTGGACACTGTGCCAGTGACATTGTGTTGGTTCAAGAAACAGGTGTGAATAACTACAAATAAGCAATGGGTAAGTCATATAATTTGTTAAATCTAATTTATTTAGTGTTCTTACACACGAGCGGCACGCGTCAACAACAGCAGAGGCGTTGACGACGGCGCCTTCCACCAGATTAGATTGGATTGTTGGATTTTCTACTCTGGAACTTCTAAAACCGCGTCTCCACCAAAAACATTTATGTTTCCAACTGTTGACAAATCAACAAAAGTTGCCAACATTTGTTTCCGAAAATGTTCCAAGAAGCGTCTCCACCGAAGGAACAAATGTTGGCAACAAGCGTAGGTATTCCTTTGGTGTTGGCGCCGAAAATGGAAACACGGTTCCCGATATTGTTTCAAGTTTTGTTGCCAACACTAGGTGATTACGGAAACATTTGTTGGTAACACGTGTTGTCAACTGTTGTGTTGGCAACAAAACTTTGGTGGAGACGCACCATAACACGGTAAAAATATCTGTATTGAACTGTGCTTCTGGCAGTCGGGATACCCTATTGATAGGTATGTACCTAGTTAAGAGCCGTGGTAGCTCAGATGGTTAGCGCTCGCTGTAAATTTCACAGTATGCGAGCAAACCGGGTTCGATCCCCGCCGCACCAATGAAATTGTTAATCTACTAAATGTAAGTGCTGATTTACCACGTGCTCGGCGGTGAAAGAAAACATCGTAAGGAAATCTGCATGTCTGAGGAACAAAAAAAATATTTTCAAAGACATGTGATGTTCGCCAACACGCATTGGGGCAGCGCGGCGGACACTTCCTTGCCGGGAGGCCTGTGCCCAGCGGTGGGACGTATTTAGGCTGTAACTTTACCTAGTTTTATATCGTATTAGGTACCTATATAGGTATATGCTTGTACTAGTATTTCCTCACTCGCGTTCCCGTAGGAACCTATTTACTGCTCCGCCCCCATGATCCCAGTGTTGCATTTTATAGCTTATTATAAGCTATAAAATGCAACACTGGGTTAAATAACAACTTTTAAATAGGCTACTAACAAAAACAAAAAAGATTAATCTTGTAGGTGCGTTCAAACAAACAACCTTTCCAGCTTTATAATATTACATATAACATAATGCTTACCTATACATATAATAGATTATTAAATTTTTTTTATGTGACTTTTAATAGTTTTCTTTTTTAACCGACTTCATTACTTCTATGAAATACTAGGTACATAGGTATTTACATATTTAGAAGCCTTACACATCGTTAGAAGGCTGCCTACAAAAATAAATTAATAAACCCATAATTAATAAATAAATAACGGCATAATTATAAATAAAAACATTACGATCATAAAATAATTAAAAATAGTGTTTTAACTATTTTATAATGTTGTCATTTTATGGAACAGATACAAAAGATTGGCGAATTGGAAATAAAGGGCGCCTAAAACTATGTGCCCCTCGTAAGAAGAAGTTGAAAAGAACATTGAGAGGATGGTTCATGAATAAAGAAAACATTCCTCCTGTACTGGATACGTCCCAACCGTAAGGATTATTTTGAGTGTTGTGATCGCTGACCCGAAAAAAAAATGAAATCATTTGATTTTTATCTGCGGAGTATCGCTAAATCAACTTAATTTGACCCTGTATAATCCATGTTTTTTTTTAGATCAATACAAGATTCATTCAAGCAAAATATTTGTTCACTGGAAGTACATGAAGCAATGTCTGCACAGTGTCAAAATGTACCTGTAATAAATGACCCTGGTGAACAGATTAGTTCCGATATTCCTCATGTACTGACCACGCCGTAATCGTAAGTACTTTCATAGTTATATGTACCTACTGTAGTTATTACATTTCTAGGATGATTCGGCCGCTATCACTTCGCCATGCGCTCTATATATCTAAGCGCTAATCAGAAAATTAGAAATTGTAATTTCTCTATTTGTTATTATGTCTAACATAATTTTTGTTACTCATGTTGTTTTTAGATCACCTCGTGAGTCATTTAAACAAGTCGTCGTGCAAGCCCAAGTGCATGAGACTACTTTACGACAAGACAAGGCTTTACGGTGGAAAAATATACTTTTAGAAAACGATCCTTGCGATCAGACTGGTCCCGGAGAAATATCAACTCAAACTGATTGGGATATCATAGAATCAGACGTTGATTTTGCTCGTTACACGCCGATTTCGTAAGTATTAACCACAACAGTAAAATCCATTTGTTAGTTTTACCTAATTATTCTAATTGTGTTATGCGTTTACAGGGCCACGCAGGAAGAATCGATATCAACCACACAAGAATATAACAAATCCAGTGCCTCAGAACCCGATTCAGATAAATACAATTTTTCTTTTGAAACTGACAACTGTGATAACAGTGATTGTGCGAATTTAGAAGGAAATAGAATAGTGAATATTGCTTATCTATTTCAACAATTGAAAAATATTAGGCATGATCCATTTGAATGTAATTTTCAGCACTTAGAATTTATAAGGGAAAACAGAATTGCGTTTTACTCACAATTTGTTTTCAAGTGCAAATTTTGCAACAAAATAGAAAAGATTGAATCTCAACAGTCTAATAAAGAATCTAAAGACATACCTATTAATTTAAATGTAATCGAGGGTATTTCACAAACTGGCAATGGGTGGAGCCAGCTTGATGAGTTATGTTAAATATGCCTAATATGAGCGAAACTTATTATATAAAAAATAATCAAAAGTTAGGCATTATCCAAAAAGACATAGCATTACAGCTTATGTTAGAAGCAGGTGCAGAAAAAAGGCGATTTGCTTTGGAAAATAATAATGTTACACAAGGTGTACCATGTGTTACCGTCGTGAAAGATGGCTCATGAGCTAAACGTAGCTACGGTACAAATTTTAATTCACTTTCTGGTGTAGGTTGTATAATAGGGCACCGGACAAAAAAAATACTCTACATTGGGGTCAAAAATTCATATTGTAGCGTATGTGCTATAGCTCAAAATAAAAAATCCTCAATTCCGGCACATGCGTGTTTTAAAAATTGGTCTGGTCCATCTACCGAAACGGAGACATCAGCCATTGTAGATGGATTCAAAGTAAGCATGGAGATGCACGGACTCATGTATACCAAGGTAATTGGTGATGGAGATAGTATTGTAATGAATGCTCTTAGAGACGCAATGGTGTATGGTCCTAATGTTCACATCAGAAAAATAGAATGCAGTAATCATTTACTGCGAAATTATTCAAATAAACTTAGAAAACTAGGGAAGAAAACTCAGAACGAAGTAGGCTTTTTACCTGTGATTTTGCGTAAAGCGCTTTTAGACAAAATACGACGCCTAAATAACGCAGTTACTGGGGCAGTAGCACACGCGCAACAGCTTGAGCTCGCAACAGCCGACAAGATTAGAATCCTTCAAGAAGACTTACGGAATGGGCCATGCCACGTGTTCGGATGCCATGATTCTTGTAAACAATATTATTGTAAGGGATTAGTAACCGAAGAAAACCTCGTTCCACAACTCAAATCTAGTGGGATATGGAACGATATTTTTGAGAATGTTGGGTGGCTTCTGCAAAATGCGGAAAGCTTGCTACTACAGGAGACAAATAATGCAGCAGAACAATTTAATTGTATTATCGCTAAGTTCCTTGCAGGGAAACGAGTTAATTTCACGCGAAGGGGGACGTACGAAGCAAGATGTTTTTCCGCAGTAGGGAACTATAACACAAAAGATTATAGTTTTTTAAGTAAAGTACAAAAGGCAATATGTCCTGAAACGTCGTACTCCTATACAGAAAAGTACATAAACAAAATGACAAATAACTTAGTACGGCAACAAAAAAGGAGGGCATTATATAAAACAAGCGGTACTAAAAGAGCTAAGCGTTTTAAAACGGCCGATATACACTACGGTGATATAACAGTGCAAGAGCCAGATATGCCACCCGATATTTTTGAAAAAAAGAAAAATGATTTTCTTCTCTCAATAACATTAAATAATGATGAAATTGAAGAATTAGAAAAGAAAACCAAAGCACAATCCAACTCTGATTTGTGGATCGTGGAGCGCAAAAAGCGAATAACCGCATCTCTGTTCGGCCAAATATGTAAAATGAAGGATTCTACGCCTTGTACTGCGACATTAAAAAATATGTTATATTCTACATTTACGGGAAACGATGCTACTCGATATGGAACGGCACACGAGACAACCGCAATTGCAGATTTAGAAATTAAAATAAAACAAAAAGTAACACCATGTGGTTTATTCATATGTATGGATAAACCATACCTTGGTGCGAGTCCAGACGGTCTGTTAGGGGAAGACAGTCTGATTGAAATAAAGTGCCCGTCGTCAGCAGCAGGCTTTACACCTCTGGAGGCAGTACGGCAAAAAGAAAATTACATTTTGTGTGGAAACTTCAAATGGAATAAAACTAAAAAAAACACACAATTACTATTACCAGGTTCAAGGACAACTAATGATAACAAAACGAAATTTTTGCTATTTTGTTATTTGGACGCCAAATGGCATAGAAATTGAAATTATTGAAAGAGATGATGCGTTTTGGACGGCAGACAAAATTTTAAAATTAGATAGCTTTTATCAGAAATGTGTTTTGCCGGAGCTGATAGATCCCCGTTACCCTCGCAAACTACAATTTAGAGATCGAATGTAAATCAAATTGATATAAGCACAGAAAAAAATAGCGGAATATAAATAAAATTTTGAAAAAAAAAACGATCTCAAAATTTTATTAATGTTCCGCTAATTTTATCTGTACTTACCTATGTCAATTTGATTTACATTCGATTATAATTATATTCTCAGACGTGCGGGTTTCCTCAATATGTTTTCCTTCACCGCCGAGCACGTGGTAAATCAGCACAATTGCAATTAACAATTTCATTGGTGCCGGCGGGGATCGAACTCGGGTCTGCATGTCTGAGAAATTAAAAAATATATATTTCGAAGACATGTGAAGTTCGTCAACACGCATTGAGGCAGCGTGGCGGACATTTCCTTGCCTTAAAACCCTCTCAGAAATTAGAGGAGGCCTGTGCCCAGCAGTGGGACGTATATAGGCTGTAACTTTACTTTTTTTACTTTTATAAATATATTATTTTACCGACGAAAATTTTAAAGAAAAATAAAAAATAAGCAACCGACAACCTCCTAGGTCCCTAGGTGACTTGCGAGATGTCAGTGTAACAAAACAAAACGGCCCAGAAAAACACTTTCCAACTGATAGCTAAATCAGCACGCAACAATTTCATTGGTGCCAGTGGGGATCGAACCCGGGTTGCTCCCGTACTGTGATACTTATAACGAGCGCTAACCATGTGAGCTACCACGGCTCTCAACGACATCGTTCCCTTCGTGTACAGCGCTGAAGATAGCAGAGTAAAAAATTAGAGATTGTGGTGTTTGAAATTTGTCATTTGTGAGAGTGAATTTTATCTGTGTACCGTAACAAATAACTATATAGAAAAAAAAATGTGAAAATGACATTTCGCCATTTTTATTTGTGTACTGGTTAGGAAGTCGATCAAAAATTTGATAATTTTTCTGTTTTTATACGTTATTTCTAACGTTATTTTACATCAAATTAATTGTGAAGATATTTTCTTTAGGAAATATGTATCATTACGACGATTCAAAAACGTTTACATATAATAATTTACCTCGAAATTCACTATACGCGATTATCGTTTATTGATTATATTTTGTTTAAAAAGTATTCTTATCAGTTTTTTGTGTTAAATGGATGCTAAATATAAAAGAATGCTTCAGTATTGATAGCAATTTATAAACGAAATATCTGTTGAGATGTGTCTAGAAATTTTTAATACTTATTTTTATTTATTTATTAAAATATAATTTAATAAATAAATAAAAATAAGTATTCATTTATCTATATTGAGTACTAGTTGTTCCCCGCGATCTCGCCCGCGTGGAATATGGATTTCATGGGTTTTAATTTTTTTGCGCGGAACCCTAATTCTTTTTCTAAAACAAAAGTAGTTCAAGTTATTCCTTATATCATCAGCTATCTGCCAGTGAAAGTCCCGTAAAAATAGATCCAGCTGTTTCGGAGATTAGCTGGAACAAACAGACAGACAGACAGACCGACAGACAGACAAAAATTTAAAAAATTGTGTTTTTGTTACTAGTACTTTCATATGCATTTAATAAAAAGCTGTTATTTTAACATTACAAACAGACACTTCAATTTTATTTATTTGTAGAAATAGATATAAGATATTATTCATATTGGTGTCATTTTAAAGGGAATATCATGTACTATTATAATAATAATATAATTGTCTCCCGTAAATATTATACTTTTCTTGTAAAACTCGAAATAAAAAATAAATACGACTTATTTTTATATTCCCATATGCTTTATTTTCATCCTTTTTTTTTATTTGACCAATTTTCTTTTAACAAAATTAAATTCTGAATTCGTTGAGCTTTTTGAGAATATTTTTATTTGTATGTTAGGTAGGTACCTATATTAGTTTTTCAGTAGTAAGTCTCGCGCGGTCGTAAAAAAAAAAGTTACTGCGCGGACAGGTGGGACGAGAATCACTTGCGCGGCGTGGACGGTTCGGTGGATAGGTACCTACCTACTGTTATTACCTAGATACCCACAACCTACTATACAACAAAATTTGACAAACTGTCGATGCGTCGTGGACACAAAAATCTAAACTGCCTACCTACCTGCCTAAGTACGTCGGTACTAAGGAAACAGTCTTGACGGGTCACTTGTCTTGATAAAAACATGTGTTTACATCTCGTGATATTGTGTGTATATAAAAAAAGTAAGAAGACAGTTAAGTATTTTTGAAAACAATTTATAGGTAGGCAGAACTAATTACAATTATTATCTAAATATTATAAATGCGAAAGTTTGGATGGATAGATGCATGTTACTCAATCACGCCAGAACAGCTGAAGGGATCTGGATGATATTTAGCTCAGAGATAGGTTATACCTACTCTGGAATAACACATTTGGTAATTTTCGAGTTCACGCGTTTGAAGCCGCTGGCAACAGCTAGTACGGATATAAACTGCGATGACTGTTCCAGTTCATGCTTCGGCGTCGTGAACTCTTGAGTGATCACTGCATGACCACCCGGGAAAAACTAAACATAATAAAATAAGCAATCTATATTAGGTATCTATAGAGCCATAGAGGTATAGTATAAAGTGATAACGCAGCGCCTAATAATTTAGTACGAGTTTGTAGGTAGGTACTGCTGATTTCTCAGCAAGCGTCGAGCGGTACAGAATTGGGTGGTATGTAATATGTATGTGTGCATCGTGTTCGTGTTACTTCGTTTTTGTTCTAAAGGTTCGTACGCCGTACGAACAAGACGTGCGTTCTAACTGCTCTTCACTGATACTATCTCTGTCAGACTTCTCAGACTCTGTGAGACAACGTGCTTTTTGGCCGCGCCCACCAATGAGTTCGAGCCCGCAACTTGTGCCACCTTAAGATCAGTAGTCCTATAAAACATAAATATAATACTGCATTGTACAACTATGGTCTAATGTGCGGGATTTCGCAATATACAAGAATTGAAATCGCTAACAATAAATTAACTAAGACCTGTATCGATCATATCTACGCGAGATCCCACACACAAGACGTGTTTACAGTGACTCTCGATACTTAATTAGCTGACCACCGTGCAATAGTTTTAGCATGCATCGGAACTGGCAAAGTGCGTACAAAGGATGTTCAAACTTTTAAGGTAAAATATGATAATAAAGTACTTTTTTCGCAATTACAAGATATAGACTGGCTAAATACTAAACATATTCTTTGTCCTTTGAAACTGTATTCTTTGATATTAAACATGTTATGATAAATCGCAAATACAAATTAAAATTAAAAATGATTACAAACGGCGTAACAATAATTGGATGAATAAAAAAATTCATACGGCATGCAACCATAGAGACAAATTATTTACAAAGTGGCTTAAAGATACAAATAATAAAATATTAAAATTGTAATACAATAAAGCGAGAAATTACGCTAATAACATAATACAATAATACAAAAACAAAAATATAAAATCTGAAATTATTAACAACAAAAAAGATATAAGAAATCTATGGGTCATTCTAAACAAAATTACAGGCAAAGTCATTGCTTCAGTAGACAACGTTATAATAAATGCTATGGTAACGAACACCCTAAAAACTGCCGACATCGCCAATAATTTTGCGAAAACATTTAGTGATAGCGTAAAGAATATTATACCCAAATGTAACATTAGTATTCTGGATTCAGCAAGCTACCGCCGTCCAGCCAAAGTCTCTATTAGATTTCAAAAAGCCACGGCAGGATCGATTAACAAAATAATACGTTCATTAAGCACTAAAAAAGCTCCTGGCATTGATAAAATAAGAATTATTGATCTTAAAAATATAAGTGATAAAATTGCACCCGTTATTGCTAATCTTATTAATACATCTGTGCAAAATGGTACATATCCAGCAGAGCTAAAAACAGGTATAGTACGTCCAATTTATAAAAAAGGTAATCATAAAGATTATGATAACTACCGTCCCATCACTATACTGCCTATAATTGATAAAATTATTGAAAAATTTCTTACTCGACAAATACTAAGCTTCTATTCAGACAACAGTATTATAACACAAAAACAATTTGGTTTCCAACCTAAAAAAAGCACTATACCTACTATATACTATGGAGACGGACCAAAGAAGATTTGGTGGTGCAACGCCGCAGACTTCGGAGGGCCAGCCGCCGGCTGCAGGCCCGTCAGTAGCTATTACAGCAGTACCTGACTTAGGTGCTCTGATGGTGATGCTGCAGGAGCAGGCTCGCCGACAAGAGGAGCAGGCCCGCCGACAGGAGGAACAGGCTCGCCGGCAAGAGGAACAGGCCCGCCAGCAGGCGGAACAGGCACGCCGATTGGAAGAGCAGCTGCGGGGCGGACAAGAGGAACAAGCCCGTCGGTTGGAAGAGCAGATGCTCTTTATGAAGGACCTTCACGCTACCTTCGGGAAGGAGATGAAGGAGGTGAAGGATAGGGTTGCTCAACATGACAACCGCTTGTCAGAAGCTGAAACGCGAATTGAGAAATCTGAAACCCGAATCGACCAAGTGAACAATCGCGTTGACAACGTTATGGCTGACGTGAAGAAAACGCTGGACGATCTCAAACTGGGGGATGGAACTACACCTCCCGTAGTAGCTACAACACATTCAGTACGTGGATTCAGAATGCAGCCGTTCGACGGGACTTCTTCCTGGGCGGCCTACAAAATCTAGTTCGAGGCTGTTATGAAGGCAAACGGCTGGAATAAAAGTCAGGCCATGACTGCTCTCACACTAGGCCTGCGCGACCGGGCCTTAACTGTTCTAGAAGCTCACGGTAAAGAAGTGACTTACGAGCAGCTCCTTGAGGAATTGGAGGCTAGATATTGCGACGCTCACCTGGAACACGTCTTTCGAGCGCAGCTTAGAGATCGCGTGCAACGCAACAACGAAAA